GAGACTTTTGGCGCGTCTTGATTTATAAAAGACAAAGGGTAAGTTTGATCTGTATAATTTTTCACGCTGTACATTGCTACGATTTTTTTTTACATACTTTCTAATATACAAATATTTACTACACCTAATACTATGAAAATATCCCGTATGGCAAGTACTTCGAGTTTTTTCCCTGTAAAAAATGGTCTCTTTACCACTATGTATCCATAATAGTGGAAAATTATGAACATGCGGAGAAGAAGGATGCCCATCGTACCTTCTATTATGTTTTAGATAATATTAATAAAGATCCTTGCACGCCCCAAGAAGTTCGTGATATTGTTCAAAATCTTTTAAAGAGCAAAAAAGTAAGCGTATTTAGAATAATAAAATAATTTAATTTGATGGGGCTCTATAGCCAGATACTTGTACCTATTACCACGCCCTAGTAGGAATCCCTGCAAGTATCGAAATGGATGCGTTTATTACCACGCCCTAGTAAACATCATGGAATAGATCATTATAATTTTAGTAAAGATCTGCTGATTCCGAAAGAGGATTTCAGCTAATAAAATTGTTGGTGTATTTCTGCATTCACCATCAAACCTTATGTTTCTCTGATTACGTTTACTGAGAATCATTACTTCATTTCTCACTTAATTTTACCTTCATATTGAGGAAGTAAATAACTTATGGCAAAAAGCTGATAGGAAAAGGGAGACATTATTACCGCTAGCACAATCTTCATCACCATCTTCAATAGTTTTATCACTATCATTGTCATCATTATTAGGAAAGAGGAGGGAAGACCCAGCTACAATGGATACATCTTCAAAGAAGCCATGCGTAAGACCAGAAATAAGTTGCTTCTGTCCGAATACAGAAATACCTTTGCAAGCCGATGGGTCGGTAGACATTTTAGAGATTGTGAAGTCTACTGTACGTACGTTCGACCCAAAAATAATTACCCTTGGATCTTCTCACTCCTACAAAAGTTCAAATGATTTGCTCGTAAATTTTAAACGGGGTGTAAAGGTTTCTAGGGAGAGCACTAGTGTTGTTAGGCAAAATCTAGAGGTTTTGCCATTGGCAAAAGTCAAAACTAGTTTCGACTTTTGCCAAAAAAAAAATTAAAATGGCAAAATGGC